TTTCAGTGAAGCTCCCAAGAAAAATACTTGTCATTATATGAATAAAATATTGGACCAGATTTTTCTCATACTTTTCCACTAAAACAACATATGACAAAAGATGATGCAGAAACAGGTAAGAAAATCCAATTGTCTTCTATTCAGTCATTTTTTAAAAGATTTTTGAAACTGTAAAATAACATCACTCTTCTCATTTATATTTTTATCTTTTTTAATACTTTTTAATAAAATAAGTTATTTTCATTAGATTTATTTCTGTATTAGATTTATATTGATAATAATTAAAATAATGTAATACTAATTTATTATTTTGAAATAATTTAAAAATAAATGTTATATATTTTTCTCACTTTTAGTTTTTACTTTGCAGATATTACAACATAAGCAAAACTCTGTTTTGAGGAATCTTTGGTACTTTTGAGGGTAAATGGATTTTTAGACCAAAATGTGTGAGAACACCGGCACTAAATGAAGCAAGTTTGATTTGAAAATAATGATAGCACATATCTAAATACCATATTGTAAGAACTTTAAAAGAAATGTTACAAAGAAAGGTAATGAGCTAGAGAGAACACCAATGAATTCCTTTCCATCTTGTTTTCAGTTGGCACACTTTGAAGTAGAAAAGGTAAAATCTTATTCTTAAGTGACTTTTACGTAAGTTTTGTAGCTACTCACATGAAACAAATTTCACCAGATACTTCAAAACATCAGTAGCACTTACACGTAGTTAAATATAACTATTTTGATTCCTTAAATCAAGAACTTTCAATGGACTTTAGAACTATTTTTAAACCATTAACCTCACATTGGCCATGACTAAGTTCCAAATAGAAAATGTAATGAAGCACTGATCTCTAATTTAAGTAACAAATTCTTCTACTTAGAATAAAACATGAAGAATCAGCATATAAACTGAGTTACATTGTTCAAACATGTATGTATGTATTCTCAAATTTTATCTGTATTATATTCGCACAAATGAACTTCTTTTATTACTTTTATCTCATAGAATGACCTCAGTGTCAAAGTTTACACACACACACACACACACACACAATTACATGCTGCTGTATACTGGTTTAAGAGTTAGAATTGGTATCAAAGTTATCTAGCTTTTAAAAAATTAGTAAGAGTTTCAAAATACCTAGGCTACTTGAATTTCTGTCGCTGGGTTATTAAATGATATTGAAACAATTAGGCCATGACTCCTGCTATATAAAAGCTATAATACTCTTTTATCTCATTATTATTTAAATGTTAAATGCTCTATTATAGAGGCAAATTGGGTTTAAAATAGAATATTTTAAGCAGAAGAGCAAAAAAAATAAGGTTAAACAGGGTGAGAAATCAGTTTCAATTTGTGCTATGAAGCTTGCTAGGATAGGGATTGATCTTTTGATATACTAAGATAGACCCTCTGGCATGCCCTGTAGAGAATAAATACACTGATCTGAAACAAAAATGTAAAACAGCTGTTAAGTGACAGAAGAAATGTTCCTTGGACCACCAGACTGTCATATATATTGCACTCTTAATCAGAAAGCATCTGTCTTTTCTTTTCCTTTTCAACAATCTCTGCATTGTATTTAATCTGTACAGAATGCTTCTCCCAACAGGTGCAATGGTGTTTATAAATCTAAAACCTTATTTAAATGAAGCTTACAACAAGAGATGTTTCAATTAACAGGATACAATTTTATGAGAAGGAATCATTCTAACATTTTGCAAACCCATAGATTGTGATGCATTTGTAAAATTTAATTATTGGAAAATTAGAGTATAGATGCCAAGAAAAGCTAAAGATCAAAGGGGCTTTAAGTAATTTTATGCAATATATTTGCATCCAGAGAAACTACAGGTAAAAGCCATTGGTGGGAATGTGGAAGAACTTGAAATATTGGGGACAGACATTACAAAATGTCATGTTTTATTGACATGTCCATGTAAAAGGTGGTCTCTGTTGCACTGAATTATTTTCCCACAGTTCAATTTTTCCTGTATTATCATGATTCAGTTTTTGAAATTGAATATAATAGATCCATGATCAATCTTACTAAACAAAGAACATACATATTGATAGTAATTCTAAGATTTGCATTATAATCACCCAAATCAGCTTCAAATAGATAATTATTTAAAATCATGGATATAATCATAAAATTATTGCTCTTACAGTATACCACTCTGAAAGTGGAAGCAGCCATGAAATTACTCACTGTAACTTTTTTTGTACTAAATGAGCTCTATCCCTATAGGGGCCACACAGATACTGTAGGTGACACAAGTCTGGTGAAACATTGACCCTAAGTTGAGTATTCAACTTCTGATCTTTGATAGAAACAGATGTTGAAGAAAATATTCTTCTTAACTCTTGGATGAACAACATGGCAAGCTACTGAGCAGTGTCCATTTAGTTGACTGTTTCCATGGAGAAAAAGTATACAGTGTTTCCAGAAATTCAGTGTTTCAATAACAAAATATATTGATAGACTATCTCTTGCCCTTGGCCTTCCAATTTGCCATCTTTGATACAATAGTGGAGAACATAGACTTACTGTCAAACATGTCTTAGATCAACTTCTGTCTTGGCCATTTATTATCCTTATGACCTTGGATAAGCTAGTGGCCTTTAAATTCTATTTCATTCTCAGCATGAATAGAATTAATAATAAAAGCTAATTTATGGAGACATTTTAATAATAAATGATATAAGAGGTATAAAATACATAGCATGGCAAGTACTCAACGAGTGGTAAATACACAATACGTGGTACATATTATGGTTTTTTGTTTTTGTTTTGTTTGAGACAGTGTCTCACTCTGTCACCCTGGCTGGAGTGCAGTGGTGTGATCTTGGCTCACAGCAACCTCCACCTCCAAGGTTCCAGCGATACTCCCATCACAGCCCCTTCCACCCCCCTAGTAGCTGGGACAATAGGTGCCTGCAAACATGCCACCCAATTTTTGTATTATTTTGTTGAATCAAGGTTTCACTGTGTTGCACAGGCTGGTATCAAATTTCTGAGTGCAAGCAATCTGCCTGTCTTGGCTTTCTAAAGTGCTGGAACTACAGGCATGAACCAGCTCACCTGGCCTTATTGTTTTTAATAAGATACAGATTTTAAAAAGTGGAGGCCCAGAAACCAATGTAATTGGACTATTAAACGTACAGGGATTTAAAATTTCAGGGCTCCTAATTTCAAATCCACCAAGCTGTTTTCTATATATATTTGTAATTGCAAGTTAATTAAAAAGCTCTAATTTCCTTACGTGCTTTACGAGTTGACACAGGATAAATATTTTTTACATCATGGATAAGGTCTTTTTTAATATTCATAATTCCCCTTAATAGCTGTATACCGATATCTATTATAGGTTAACACAGAAAGGAGCAGTTACTCTATTCCTCAGAGAGTTCATACAAAATTATCTCATCTCAAGCATTCACATTTTGTAAGGGACAAATACATTTTAAAAATTCTTCCACTAAAGCAATACCAACAAGGTCATTTGTTACAAAGCATAAGAGACTCTATTTTAATTACTTTTTGGAGACAAATAATAAAAATAATTCTATGGTGGTAGTTAGATATTCTGGGCATCATCTGAAAAACTGATTGGCTCCTTCAGACTGTACCAGTTCTGTTAGATAGACTTTACCCTTAGAATAATGCAGCTCTTCTTAGAACTTCACTGGTTCCCATTTCAAAATCTTCTCCCAATTAACACCTCAGATCCTCCAGCTGATTCCCACCAAATTCTACCTCTTCGCCTGATCAACTCGTTTTTCTCAACAGTTAACAAAATCCTCCCTTCTACTGATGTGTTTGTACTCATTGCAATAACTACAATGATGGGGCCTTGCAATCTGGTTAGCTAAAATCCTCTGTATGCATAGTCTCATTTAATCCTCCCCACAGCTCTGTAGAGTAGACTCCACAAATATACCAAAGTACTTCATTTGTAAAATCATTCTGAAAGATGTTAAATAATTTGTCTAGTAAGTGTCAGAGTCAGGGCTTCCGTCTCATTTCCAAGGCTATACTATTCTGCCTCTCTAAATTCTTGGCTTAAAAACTAAACCAAGATGAATTAGACATATACTAAATAAGAATTCTAACATTTTCTGGGTGGCGGCAGAGAAACATAAAGCTAAATATCACTCGAAGCTATTAAACATTACATTGCATAGCTCAAGTTGAGCCTACACAAACATAATTTAAGCACCCTTTTTTAGGAAGATCTATATTTGAAGAACAAGCCATGCTTTACTGTACTTTTTAGCCATTATTTTGTTAATATAATAATTACCTCACGAAGGTCACCCTAGAGGTTTTCAAATTGCTCCCAATAATGCATAAATAATTTGTAAATGAAGGTAAAATGTCCCAACAGGTATAGATCCACAGAGAAACAGTTTCCTAAGACATAATTATGAGAAAGATTAAAAGGACTGAAGTCCAAAAGATGGATGAATAAAGACTTAATTAAGGAGAATCATGCTTTTGTGATATTCTTTGGGAAAAAAGCCTTCTATCTTCACAAAAAAAATACTATCTTTTCTAAGCAGGCAAACTATTGACTAACTTTGGGTAGCTAATCCACAAGACTCACATTAACATACAGAACATGAAATGCACTTTCCCTTGGGCAAGGAGAGGAGAATCTATTGCACATGTCATCTGTTTCTGTGAACACTGAAGATTACAATTATGTTTTGATGTTAATCCAACTACTGCACATTTCTTGTTGCAGAGCACTGTGTGAAAATGTGAGTGACAATATAAATCTTTTTAAATCGAATTCAACACTATTGAAAAGAGCTGATGTTTTCAAATACTATTACAAAGCCTCTGAGAAACAAGAATGACTCTCTAAATGAAGCCGCTTTTCTATAGTGACCTATTTGCTATGAAAATTGAATAGCCAGGATAAAATCAAATTCTGTAGGTCTGCTATATTGTGTGTGTGTGTTTTGCATTTTTAGGATCAATCACCTCTAATGTTTTGATGTCCTCATAAGCAAACTGCACGCTGGGAACTCCAAGATGGTTGATGAAATAATCAGCATCACCTTGTATCTGTATAGAACTGATATTGGTTTCTGGGCACTGAGTTCTTCTGGTGCAGTTGAAATTATTTTTCTGAAAAACATAATTCAAATTGTTAACACATACTATACTTCCCAGGTCACCCCTAAATCAGTACTACTCAAAACACGGTCCACGGATCAGCAGCATCAGTGTCCCCCTGGAAACTGTTAAAAATGAAAATTCTTGACTCCACATGGTCTTGCCTGATGGGGACATTGGCGCTAGAGGCCTGGAATCTGCTTTGTAACACTCCTCTTTGATTCCGATGCTCACTGAAGCATGACTCGCACTAGCCAGAATCAAGGTTTGCTTGCTGCTGTTGCTTCAAAAGCATTTTTATCATAGTTTTAATTTGAACTCTGATGACTCTGACAATATTTAAAGGAATGTCGAGTCTCTAAACAGGTGTAACATTTTGTTATTTTATTGTTTTCCCATAAATTTAAAGAATGCTTTGTAAGGTATAATTCTGTTCTTCCTAAAATATTTATTAAAAACTAAAGAAGCGTCCGGGCATGATGGCTCGTGCCTATAATCCCAGCACTTTGGGAGGCTGAGGCGGGCAGTTCACCTGAGGTCAGGAGTTTGAGACCAGCCTGCCCAACATGGTGAAACCCCATCTCTACTAAAACTACAAAAATTAGCTGGGTGTGGTGGTGAGTGCCTGTATTCCCAGCTATTCAAGAGGCTGAGTCAGGAGAATCACTTGAATCCGGGAGGCTTAAGTGAGCCGAGATTGTACCATTGCACTCCCGTCTGGGTGACAAGAGCAAGACTTCATCTCACAAAAATAAAGAAAGAAAAAAATAAAGAAGAAACTTCCTCCATTTCTTCCTGAAAGCAGATTCCTAGATGTCTTAAGATGATATGCCAACAACTACAGTGGGCCATGGTATACCCCACAGCTAAGTGCAAGCTCTGGGGAATATAAGAGGATATAGGCTATAATTTCTTAAAATAAGAGTTGCCTGACATGCAAAACAAATGACAGTAGCTTTACAAAAATAAAATAAATATCTAAAACAAACTAAAGGTTTTATAATTAATATTGATTAAATTGTCTTCTTTAATAAATTTCTCAAAAATCTAGAACATTTCTGAGATGCAGTGGCCTCAATTATGAAATGTGGAAGAATACCAATGTCTTAGGCAGTTGTGAGAAAATGAGGCAATAAATAGAAGAACATCATGTCTCGTATCAGGCACATAAAGAATGTATGCAATCCACGTTTCCCTTTGAATCAAGACATCAACTTTTCAACTGTTCATGCCTCTTTGGCACGGTGTTAATACTTTAAAATATAATCTACATGAAATAAAACTGATAAAATAAGACCCAAGCTCTCCAGGGGAGATAGATGTCCCTGTGGTTAATAGGGAGGATAAATTTAAAAACAGAAGCAAGTGGCCTTGCTAAAGTGAGAAAGAGCAGCCATGTGGCTTCTTAGAAAAAGCAACTCCACAAACATTTGCTTTATACCCTGAGCCAGAACAGTTCCTGTAACCAGACACAAGAGAAACTGGGGCTGGAAACTGCCCCTCACCAGCCCTTTGAAAGTTTGACAGAGAGTTCTAGTTTGGGGCATAGAAAACACCCAATAAAAAGTGTGACAGAGTTCTGGTTTGGGGCATAGAAAACACCCAATCAGCACTCTACTAATTTTGACCAATTGGAACTAAACAAGTTTGAATCCTTCATTTGTATAAACAGACCTGATTGAGAACTAAGGAGAGAATTGTCCCTATTTAAGCTAGACTCTCCCTTTGTTCTTCAGAAAATACTTTCACTTATACTAAAAGCTGTACCTACCTAGTCTACAGACTGTCTGTCATTCTAAAAGAAAAAAAGTCTCCACCCTTTTTCTCTGCAGATCATCTTGTCTTTTGCTAACACTTATCAAAAGAAATATGTAGTGTAATATTAAGAAAATAAGTTATTCCAACTTATTTCAACTATAGTTGTTACAAACATATAATATTTCCAAAACTATCTAATTGATTTGAAGACCTAATGGAAAGATCTTTGCAACAAAGTTAAACATCAATTAAAATGGAAAGCCAGTATGAACCTTTACAAGCAAGCCACAGTTACAGTTTACAGACAAGAAACCCTTTCTGTTGAATGTGTTTACAACTTTCTTGGCTGATTAACCACTTCCGAAATAGAAAAAGAATGTTTTTACCATGCAGTCTAATCACTAGCAACTTAATCCATTTTATGATGACCCCCACCCCTACCACCAATTTGCTTCTTTTCAAAACTGAATTTTTCGAAAAAGGAGGCAATCCTTTTTCACTTTCTGAGACATTCCTCTGGCTTAAGACTCCTGGAGGTTACATATCATGAAAAACAGATTATTTTATAACATGTTGCAAATCCCAAGCGCCTCTGGAGGTATTTGCTTAGCTGGGTTTTTCCTGTTGTTTGTTGGTTTGTTTGTAAGTTGAGTTTGAATGCCTAGGGCAAGCTAGCCAGGTCTTAACATCCATCACTAGTGTCTCACACTCAGCCTGCTCCACTCATTCAGATTTACTGAACAGGGCCAGAGCCATTTGAATTTGTTAAATCTAGACTGTTGCACCATTTTAAGTCACTAATGAGGCTATGATAGGATCTGGTGTTTACTTTCTCCAGATGCCTGACTAATGAAAGTAAAAACCATTTTTAAATGATCTACTTTCTCTTTAGTGAAGCAACAGGTATGTCCTTTCAAGACAGAGAAAGCATCCTACTCAACATAAATGAAAATATACATTTGGCTTTAATTTCATTTTACATACATTAACTCTTAATACCCACCCCAATTCTCAGCCACACTCCTTATATTGAAAGTTTTTTCTCAACAGAGAAATGGCATGGTCAAAAATTAACAATTTCAAATTCTACAGTATATGCCTGTTAAAAATTATTTTTTAAAAAAATAAACATTGCATTTAAGTTTAATATTTGATATTTTCATTGTCATCATTAGTTATATAAACATTTAGTTATATTATAGCTGCCGTCTGACTAAAGATGTTAGTTTCTCATATATGCAAGTTTCTAATATGGCACAAATGACTCCACTCCAATCAATCCTTGTAAGTGCTTTTTTGATTTTTTTTTCTTTTAAGATGAAGCCTCACTATGTTGCCTAATGTTGTCTAGGCTGAGCTTGACCTTCTGGCTTTAAGTGGTCCTCCCACCTGAGTTTCCTGAATACCCGGAACTACTGGGCCCAGCTACTTGATTTGTTTGCTCTAACAGTTACATAGAGCACAATTCTGGTTTAGCCTCAGCCTACTATTTGTGAAGCCACTATGAATTCTCTTCTAGTCTTTCTGTTCTTGTTACAGCTACTGTCCTACAGCTTTAATATTTTCACTGCATTCCATTTCCATGGTTTCCTCTAAGTACATGATTATTTACATATTTTGTATTTTTCAGGAAACCAAAAGGGCAGCATTCAGCTTTCAGGATTACACTCCCCCAAAACACTTTGCATTCTTCCTACTATAGTTTGCTCTGCCTTGCGTATTTATTTAAAAGTCTAACTTTTTCCCTAAAAGTTTCTACTGCTGCCTCTGCCACATAAAAACATTTTTTTTTTCCAAACCAACTAAGATGGCAACAGAGTGAGCATTGTCTAGAAATGTCTTACAATTTTATTTTGAGGGTTAAGGTCTATTAAACTACATCTCTGGTGCTAAATGTGGACTATTAATGGAGAGGGGATAGCATACAGAAAAAGAGGGTTGAGTGACCCAAGAGAGAGCTGGCAGCACTCCACTTTTGAGCCTCCTGTCATAATCAAGCCCAGAGGGAGGGAAAATGCTTCAAGTAAGCCAAACCAAGATGGGGACTTCAGGGACAACAGAGTTTCCTGAGGAATACTTCTGGAGCTTGTTTCTCACCTACAGAACCTAGAGTTTCTCTGATGGCCTTGCAGAGGGCTTAATTCACCATCCCCCACCCCACCCCTACTGCACACACAGCCCTCTCTCATCCTTTCTCTTTCTGTGTCTACCTCATTCTTTACTTCTTACTCTCACTAATTTAACCGGTGATGAGGGGAAGAAGCATGGTACCCTCAAGCCTGTCTTCATTTTGTCATTTCATGCCTTTGTTTCTAACTAGCTTCAAAGTAAAATGTCAGATAACTAAATTTGTCCATATAACCCAAAAGCCAGGAACCCAATTTGCATATTTGAGGGATTTCCCCACCCCCAACCCAGGTCACTTTATCTAAGAATTTCCCTTAAGAGAAAAGCATTCCTGGTATAGAAACACTATTCTCTAAATCTAAATCTTCATTATTCATTACTTTAAGGTAATGAATTTAAGGCTAAATTCAGACCTGAAGTGATTGTAAACCTATATTCAATCCTAATGTGAATTGTTTTTCCTCACAGTACTTCAGTGGATTATAATACATCTGTATCAGGTAATAGACATTGATCTACTCAACCCTCATAAGCATTAATATCTGAGAGACAAGTAGGAAGAAATGCTAATTTTCTTCAATTTACTAGAAGTTAAGCACCATGGAAGAGGGAGGTTGGCAACAAATTTGTGCAGGTCGATTAATTTTTTAAATTTATTTACAAGCCTGAGTAAATTCATATTAAAAATTTCATCCAGTGAGTTCAAAATACCTCGTATTTAATGTTTGGTAACAAGCATTTTTATTACAGTTCATAAAATGAACAATTTCAGCAAGGACTGTGGTTATGTCACTAACTTAATTTTCCACCACAAGTCCATAGAAGATCTGAAATGAAAGCACCACCTCAGTCCTAAATCTGTATGCTCTTTACAAGTACATTTTTAAGCTGAAAGGCAAAAGTTCATAATAAATGATCATATAAATGAGATTAAAAATATTAAGTCAATATTTTCATTAAATAGTGATGCCAAGACACATTGACAAGTTTAATCTGTTTAATAAATCAAATGTTGAATTTCCCCACATTCTGCTTTCTCCTGCATACAGCAGCATTCACTCTACATGCATAGAAATCTAAGTTGATTGTTTACTTAAACAACAAGAAAAATATAACATTCAAAATAA